AAAAGCAGTCACCTTAGCACAGAGTAGAAAGCCATGTGCTTTTTCCACCATTAAATAGCTCAGAAGTAAGTGTGGCCCATTGCCAGTCCTCTCTGGGCCACCCTATTATTGGACGGGGAGTGGCTGTGAGGAGCCTATATTGGAATGAATAAATGAAAAGGCATTTATTAAGCACTTGCTGTATGCCAAACTTGCTGTATGCTAAGCCCTGGGGATACCAAAATAAGACAGTCTACACCCTCAGTGAACTTAAATTCTAATGGGGGAGGGTAATCAAGGAGGAGGAGGCAACAGATAAGGGAGCTATATAGGTGGACAGGGGAAAGTGTAGGAGAGCAGGGGCATGGCTTAACTCAATACATATTTACTAAGCACCTGCTGTATGCCAAACACTGTGCTAAGCATTGGGGAGACAAAAAGGGACAAAAGGCAATCCCTACCCACAAGGAGCTTCCAATCTAATGGCTCTAATGTGAGTAGTGTGGATACCATGACAACAATGACATTGTCCTGGCCGCTTTCCAATACATATCCTTCATGTTCTTAGCTGCAATCTTCCTGGGTAAGTTTTTTTTCCTGCTTTTACTTTGATTTGGTTTAAATCCCATGGAGTTGTGATGGGCCATCTGGTAAATTGAATAGAAGAATAGCCTTGGAGCCTGGAATCCTGGGGTTCACTGACTCTAGGTGTCTGACAGATAATGAGGAGACATCATGGGATGCAAAGGAGACAGCATTTGGAGCCAGGGACCTGAGGTAGAATCTCAGCTTGGCTACTTTGTAACCTTGGACAAAGCACATAACATCTCTGACCCTCAGTTTTCTCAAGATGGGTATAATAATACCTTGAGTGTCTAACCTGTTGTGGGGCTGCCTTGAGGTATCTGTGGAACACTTTTCAAACCTTGAAACACCAAATAAATATCAACCATTGTCATTTTTTCACCTGGTCCTCTATTAGTACTGGAGATGGTTCTACCCCTGAAGTTTCACTCATTAAAGATTTTTTGTCTTCATGGATGACTAATATCTTGTGAGCTATTAGCTACTAACAGTGGGAAGGGAAAATGACAAGATTTGACAATGGATTAGATGTGGGAGTGTGTGAAGGAGGTTGAAGGGTCAAAAGTAATACCAAAGTTGTGACCTGGAATGACAAGAAGAATGGTAGTGCTCTTAAAAGTAAAAGAAAAATTTGGAAGACAGATGAATTTGAGGGAAAAGATAAGAGCTCTCGTTTGAAAATAATGAGATTGAGATGTGTATGGGATATACAATTCAAAATGTAGATAATGGGTTTTACAGTAACGACTTATTCTCATTGGCGGTTTTCGTGTCAGGACAAGATGACCATTGGTTGGGGATGTTGGAGAAGCAATGTTTATTCCGGCAGTGGTTGGAATGGATGACCACTTGGATTCCTTCCAACTATGAGCCCCTAGCACTCTGTGTTTTGTGGGTCCCTCGAAAGGATCTCATCCTTTATTGGTCCAAGATGATGGATATCTTTGGTTACGGTCTCCACCAGGAGTGGGAGTTCTGGGTCACCAGGCCAGTGAAAATTGCATCCTTACAACATCTTCTCGGTCTTTCCCTGTTTCCCTATGTGCCAAAAGTCATAGGATCTTGACAGTCCAAGGCTATGGCATCCTTATGTCTAGCTTGAGAAACAAGCTAATAATTATTTTTTTAAAAAATAATGATAAAACAAAGCTAAGCCTTTTTTTTTTTTGGAAAATTTTAGATCAAAAGGCTTTTGCTTCACACTCTGCTAATATCTTGGTTCCTTTTTTTTTTTTATTTGTGAGGCAATCAGGTTTAAGTGACTTGGCCAGGGTCACACAGCTGGTAAGTGTCAAGCATCTGAGGCTGGTTTTTAACTCAGTTCAAGGGGGGAGGACTATGCACTGTGCAACCTAGCTACCCCCTTGGCTGAGTTTTTCAAGAATTTTCTAGGACTCTGATTCTTTGCTCAAAGGGCTAACTCTCTGGGCATGGGAAGGGGGAGAGAGCTAGGTGCAAGTCAAGGTGATGAGACAGATAGGTAGAGAAATGTTCAATCTGGGTTCCAATCATGACTTCATTACAAAGTTTAATTCTAAACCCTGTGGCCCTGAACAAGTAATTTAATGTCTCTTTGCCTGTCTTCTCTTCTGTAAAACTGAGGAGATAATCTTATGGACCTCATAGAATTTTTGTGAGGATTAAATTAGATAAGATATGTAAAACATCTTACAAACCTTAATGTGCTTCCATAAATGTTAATTATCGTAATTATTGTCATCAGTAAAATATGTTTCAGAAAAAATGAAACTATGAGATTGAAGTAATTCAATTAAGACCACGGATACTTAGGTGGAGGTGATTTGGGTAGCTCTGCAGAAAGGGAAGCATAGAGAGAGGATGGTACAATTTGAGCTGTATCTAAAGGGTAGAATAATATTGGAAGTTTTAAGGAAGGGGAATTCTGGATAAAAGCGTTAACATGACTGCCAGTCTGTAAATGGAAAGACACAGGTCTCTTTATTAGTCTATCAGAGAGCAGTCAACAGCAAAGGGTTAGTGCTGGGGAATCCTGAGTCACAAGGTCAAAGGGGTAGGGTGGTGTTGTATTCAAAGGGTGTGGGCCACAAGCAGAGGGATCCAATCTAGCCATCTGATATCTGTCTGCTGGATAGCTGGGGAGATGTATGAACTCACTTAGGCCATTCAAGTACCACTGCGTGCCCCATGGTTAGACTTGGCCAGGGATTGGTCCCTGGCTTGTGAATTGGCCTGATTTCTTTGTGGAGAGTCCACGAACATCTCTCACAAGCCTTGAGGTAATTGTCTCTATCACGTGTTCCAAATGAGCACCCCAGGAGAGGTGATTGCCCCAGAAAATTTCCACCCAACTGGCAGCTGGTGAGTTACTGCAGCCAGTTTGCGCTTCCCCCTGCTAAGCAGGTTTCAGCCCCATCTGTTGTTCTGTAGCTGGGGATACGGACACAGGAAAGGTAGAAGGAACCTGCCCTTCATGGTATTGACTGTCCGCACTGTGGCCTTCCCCATCAATCACTCTGCCTGCAGATGTGCTCTCAGCCCCAGAAGTTATCAAGCACGCCCCATCCCCATTATTCCCTGTTATGGAAGTGCAGGAAATGAGGATGAGCCCGGACGGGGTGACCAGCCAGCACAGCGGCTCCTCCTTCCTCTGTTCCTGCCAGAATCGCTCCCAAGGGGCCAGTGGGAACTTCCAGGTCATGAGCCCCCGTTCCAGTCTTTTTTCCCAATAGCGCCAGATGAGCGGATACCTGATCCTTCAAACCAGCATGGTTTTGTCAGCGCGTGTGCTTTCTCTTTGCCAATGCAGATCACAGTCTGCTATAACACAGTACATCATTGTAGTACATTGTCTTGGAGTGCCACTGTGCTTGAAAAATGGGTTACTGTCCAGCCCGTGGGTGTTGAATAAACCTGTCTTAACTGGGCGAGAGCTCGAATGATGGACATACAGTTAACTCATCCCTGGTCCCGATTTGAAGCCTTTCTGACTCACTGGGACCTGCTACACCTTGCATTCTGCTGGCATCACATCAGGATTGCCTCTGTATCACCATATGTAGCACCTGGCATGTAATAGGTGCCTAATTAATGCTTGTTGACAGATTAAATGAAGCATTAGAAAAGGAGTATGGTAGGGGAGAGGCATTAATGCATTGATAAAATTATCACGTTATCAATGTTGCAAAGTGGCAAGGATGTTGACTCGAGACTCAGTGGTCCTGGTTCAGGATGTTTCTTACCTTAGTGACCCTAGCTGGACAAGTGCCTTCATCTCCCTTGGTTGGGCTCAGTTTCCTCATCTGTAAAATCAGGGATTGGGGCTCTACATTTATAATTCTGTTGAACACCTACTCTGTGCCGGGTGCCATACTATGCACAGGGCATATAATGGCAAAAGGAAAATAATCTCCTGTTCTCAGAGAACTTACACTGTTGGGTAGACACATGTGTTCTAACATGTCAACGCATTTGTATGTGTATTAGATACATATGGGTATATTCAAAGTACGTACACAAAATGGAACCATTCCATCGGGAGGGGGATATTGGCACAAGCCTCAGGTAGACCTGAGTAGAATCATGTAGCAAACTGGGGCTTCTGGGAGGCAGAAAGGAGGAAGGAGGGCATGCTGGGCTTGGAGGGCTACCATTGCACAGGCCATAGAGTCAGGGTTGGAACTTAGAGATAAGGTGGAACAAGTTTGGGAGGGAGGACCAGGGGTGAGGGGCAGGGTTTGTGTCTTGTCCTAGAGGTGACAGGAGGCTGCCAGAGTTTGCTGAGTAGGGGGTGATAAAGTGCTGCCTGGATTTTAGGGAAATTCTGGGCGATTGGAGGTGGATAGACCAGAGAAGGGAGAGAAAAGGCAGAAAGACCACTGAGGCAGGCCAGGCAGGAGGGCCGGGACGTGTGAGTGGAGACTTTGGAACAGACGGGAGGGACGTTATGGCAAAAATGACAAGATTAAGCCACGGAGAGTGGATTGAGCTGGCTGAGCGCTTGCCAGCTGGCTGCAGCACGTCCTTGGCTAGGTTTTTCATTTGGGGGAGGGGGAGTGTAGCCTGGGAAGCCCACTCTGCACCCTACCTTTGGGTGGTTGTCACCAGAACTCCACGGCTCCACGGAGGTCTTTAAGCAAGGATGAGCACTTGATTGAGGGCAGGATGGAGTGGGGGATATATTTTTTATGGAGGTGATATTAATTTTTTCAGCTCTGGGCTGAATTTGCCTTCCATAGCAAGAATGGCCTAACTCCTATCCTCATCATTTCAGTGATAGGAGAAATCCCCTGCCTAATACGCCTGTTCATACTTCTAACCGATTTGCATGCTTGGAAATCTATGCCTATGGCTCGGTGCAACCCAGACTGAGAGAGAGGCCTGTGACTGTGATTCATGCTGGCAAGTTCTCATTTCATACATAATGTTCTGATTTTGCCTTTTTTAACACTTCCCAGAAACGAGGATGCCGTCCACCAGCTGGCCGTCACACCTTTTCCATTACCAGTCAGCTCCCAGTCTTCTGTGGAGGTAAGGTCATTCTTTATCCACTTTTAGAACGAAGTGCCTCGATCATCATTCCATTTTAAAATAGAAATTAAAGAACGATCTGAAAATTTCAATCCAGCCTTGGAGTGGCTCCATTTTTTTCCCCCTGATAAGCAGCAAGGTCAGAGATTTATAACTGGAGGAGACCTTAGATTGCCCCTAGTCGGGCCTTCTCATTTTACAGATAGAGAAACCGAGGCCCAGAGAGGCAGAATGACTAGCCCAGGGTCCCACAGACAGCAAGCAACAAAACCAGGATTCTAACTCATCGCCCTTGACTCCAAATCCAGTGCTCTTCCATGGACTGTCATGATTCCGGGTTGCAATATTAAGGGACTTCTAGCATAGCCACAAGGTTGGGTCTGAAAGAAAGTGGGCTGTCTTTGTTAGTTTATTAAAACACAACAGGACTCAGGTATTTAAAAGAGTCTTGTGTCCTGTGCCGCCACCATTCCCTTTTGTGGGATGGGGGAGAAGAAGGGAGCCTTGGGGTTCTGTCCTTAGTCCAGTAGTGCTGCTGATCCTTCTCCAATGTTTCTTGATCTCTTCTTTGGGAATTGCCTGCAGTCTTTGCAGAAGCCTTGAGAAATTCAGCAAGGTGGGTCTGAATCCTGCCTCTGACCCCGACTACATGTGTGACCCTGGGAAAGTCAATTAGCTTCTCCATTGATTCTCTGAGAGAACAGAAACTTCATCCATGCCATTGGGGTGGGGCTTTTGACTTTCTGGAATTTTCTAAGTCTGGTGTTTTAGCAAAGACAGCTTTTTGGCCAATAAAGGAATTGTGGGTTGGACGCAGAAGCAGAGAGTGCGTCAAAGAGAGACCCCCGAAAAGCAGGAACATTTGGGCAGGTTCTTAAAGCTGCCCACTCCTACATTTTTTGGTAAATGACACCCACAGCTAAGTGAAATCACACCTTTGCTGTTAGGTGGCTTGTGGGTTTTTTTTTAAAGCTTTTTACCTGACAAGCATTTCCTTTTATTTACACATGCATGCATTCCAAAACAAAGCTGTGTCTGCTCCCCACCAAATACTCACCACCAAGCCAGCTGTCTTTGGTTATCTTCACTTGTACAATGCTAGCTTTGTTCTCCCCAGGGAGAGACATTCATTCATTCCTTCAGTCATTCATTCAGTCATTCCTCTCTGTTGCATGACCAAAGAACTTTTGGGGCCCCTTATATTTCTTGTCCTGAATTCACTGCTCCTCTGTGCCCTCAGCTTGTATTAATTGACCTCACTCTATTTTTTCTCCAGACCTTGATTTCTCTTTGCCACACTGTGCCTTTCTTTGAGTGGTGGTAGCAGTAGTAGTAGTAGTAGTAGTAGTAGTAGTAGTAGTAGTAGTAGTAGTAGTAGTAGAAGAAGAAGTAGAAATAGTAGTAGTAGTAGTAGTAGTAGTAGTAGAAGTAGAAATAGTAGTAGTAGTAGTAGTAGAAGAAGAAGTAGAAATAGTAGTAGTAGTAGTAGTAGAAGAAGAAGTAGAAATAGTAGTAGTAGTAGTAGTAGTAGTAGAAGAAGAAGTAGAAATAGTAGTAGTAGTAGTAGTAGTAGTAGTAGAAGTAGAAATAGTAGTAGTAGTAGTAGTAGAAGTAGAAATAATAGTAGTAGTAGTAGTAGTAGTAGTAGTAGTAGTGGTGGTGGCAACAGCAGCAGCTGCTAACATTTATAAAGTACTTACTATGTGCCAGGCTCTGTGCTAAGCACTTTATAATGATTATCTCACTTGATCCTCAACAATCTTGGGAGGGAGGTGCTATTATTATCCCCATTTTGCAGATGAGGAAACTGTGGCAAACATTGGTTAAGTGATTTGCCCAGGGACACACAGCTTGTAAGTATCTGAGGCTAGATTTGAACCCAGGTCTTCCTGACTCCAGCCTTAGAAATGAGTTTGAAATAAACCTTAGAGATTTCCTAATTCAGTTTTCCCTTCTCATGGACATTTGGGGAAAGATTAGAACATAGTCCATCTAGAGGAAGCAAAGGGAATAGATATTACCAGGTACCGATGACTGTTGGTCCACAAAGTAGTTGCTGACTTTCTTGGCCCCCGAAGCCAAAAGGGAAACAGTATTACACACTTTTCATTTTCTGATGCAGGAGAGCTACCAAAATCATTTTTATTCTTTTTATTTTTTTTTAGTAGTATTGTTTTTTAGGCAGTTGGAGTTAAGTGACTTGCCCGGGGTCACACAGGTAGTAAGTGTCAAGTGTTTGGAGTGAGGCCGGATTTGAACTCAGGTCCTCCTGATTTCAGGGACGGTGTTCTATCCACTGTGCCACCTAGCTGCCCCTAAAATGTTTTTGGGTTTTTTTTAAGTTCATAGACCCCAGGTTAGGAACCCTGGTTAGGGGAGAGGTCATTAATACATGAATATATGAATATAAGATAAAAGAATGGAAGGTCATGGATGTGAGGATGAGGAGCTAAAAGAACAGGAGATGGGGCTTTAGTGGAGATGGCATTTGGGCTCAGCTCAGTGCCTGTGGAGTCAGGAGCACCCGAGTTCAGATCCAGCCTCAGACACTTACTAGCTGTGTGACCCTGGGCAAGTCACTTAACCCCAACTGCCTCAAAAATAATAATAATAATAGCAATAAACCCTCTTCTAAACTCAGCTGTGCTGTTTACTCATGGGGGGGCCTTTCTTGGTGCCAGGCATGATGCTCAATGCCAGGCAGACCAAGAAAGGCCAAAATAGATCCCTGCCCTCAAGGAGCTCATATTCGAGTGGAAGAGACAACGTGTCGATATCTCGGTGGGCACAAACCCTCTTTTCCTTCTTGTCCCAGTTAAAATCCCACCTTGTGCAGGAAGCCTTTCCCTGCCCACCTTAAATCTAACGCCTTGTTCCCATAGGTTACCTCTCACTTACCTTGTTGTCATGTAACTTTTAACACTTGTCTCCCCCCATTAGACTGGAGGCTCCTTGAGGGCAGGGACTGTCTTTAGCCTCTCTTTGTATCCCCAGTGCTCAGCACGGTGCCTGGCACCTAGTAGGTGCTTAATAAATGCTTGGTGACTTGACTACAACGATGTTTAGGAAACTGAGATGTGAGGTGCTTTGTCCTGGAGCTGGAAATGGAAACCCCTCCCTGCATTTCCCAGACCCAGCATTGCTGCCCCTGGGGCCTGGCTGGCTCTCCCCTTCCTTCCAGCTCTCATTAGCTCCGGGTCTCCTCTCCTCCTTCTCTCCCGCCCCCTCCACCCCAATCAAACTTCCAGTGGTTCCCTAATGGATTTCAGATTAAATCTAAATCCTCAGCTCCACATTAACATTCTCCTGGAGCTCCCCACAACCCCCAGGGCCCTTACCTAACTTCATTTCTCATTATTCCCCAGCATGGTGCTGGTACATACAGTGCTTGTTGAATTGAATTAAACTGTTTATTGAATTGTTGAGACTGGGAAACAGTCTGCCCTACCTGGTCAGACCCTGGGCTTTGTTATCTGTCTTCTTTTTTTTGTTGTTGTTAATTAATTAGTTAATTTTTAGTTTTTAACATTCACTTCCAGAAGATTTTGAGTTCTAAATTTTCTCCCCCTCCCCAAGTTAGCATGCAATCTGATGTAGGCTCTACATATGCATTCATATGAAACATTTTCCCATTAGTCATGTTGTAAAGAAGAATTAGAACCAATGGGAGGAACCACAAGAAAGAATGTTATCTGTCTTGTCTCTTCAGAAAGGTTGGTAAAGTTAACAGCCATGCCTTGTGCTGTAGAGACAACAAAGGGAGGCTTTGGAACTAAGAAACCTGGGATTGAATCCTGTGTCCTTCCTCCTCCTCCTCCTCCTCCTCCTCCTCCTCCTCCTTCCTGGCAGTTAATGACTGTGTGAAACTGGGCAAATTATTTTACCTCCCTCTACCTGGGTTTACCCTTCTATAAATAGGGATATTACCTGCCGTGCAGGACTGTTGTTAGAAAAGTACTTTCTAAACTTTAAGCAAATATTGGATTTTCTGTCACAGAGTGATTATTATTACATCTATAATTATAATAGCAAATATTTATAATACTTTGAGGTTTTTGAAATGTTTTTTATATTTAACCAATTCATTCCTATGAGATTCCTTAAAAGATGATAACCAAGATAAATTTTTTATACAACTAATTTTTTTTTTTTGCTTTTAGGCAATTGGGGTTAAGTGACTTGCCCAGGGTCACACAGCTAGTAAGTGTCAAGTGTTTGGTCTGAGGCCGGATTTGAACTCAGGTCCTCCTGACTTCAGGGCCGGTGCTCTATCCACTGCGCCACCTAGCTTCCCCTACAACTAATTATTAATAAGAAATGAGGCATTAAACAGGGTGATATATGGTCACTAAAGGCATTAGTTGGAGCAAGTTCAGCACAGGGATTCCCTAAATATGCTGAGTGCTTCCAGGTACCATTTGGCAATGACATTGTGCGCATGTCACCAAACCCTGGAAGTTGGCATAGCCTCCTCAAGTAGATCCACAATCACTCAACTGTCTTCAGCCTAACCATCCATGTGAGAAAAACCAAGTGGATGACAAAAGCCTATTTTACAGACTGTGCTACGCTTTGGATGCACACACCATAGAGTTGGTCCAGTAGGATGTCCATCTCGAACATTCACTCCAAGTAGACAAAGAGCTGGGCCTGGAATGGAGGAGGAGGAGGAGCAGAGTAGGTGAAGTTACTCTGAGGAAATTAAATATTGTATTTCATCCCTTAGCTTTTCTGAACATTAGCTTCCTAGTTTGTGAAATAGAGGTAGACTCGCTAACATACACCTCAAAGGGTTGTAGTAAGAGGTGATGTAGGCAAAGTACTAGACAAACGTTAAAATGGCGTAGACATTGTCACTTACTATTTTTGTTTTTGTTATTTTTTAAAAGTATTATTTTCCTTATCACAGTTGCAGGGAGTACCCACCAGTGAATTTGTGGGTGTATTAAAGTTTGGCGTCTTAGAATTCTATCTCTTCAGTCGTGTTGCCCTGTATCCTA